GAAGCCTGGGGTACAGCTCAAGGATGCGGGTGCGGATGGACGTGTTGTGTGTCAGCCCTGAGCTGGGGCTGTTGGCAGGTTGAGGTTCCCAATTAGTTTTGTTTTGTTTTTTCCTTTTCTTTGTCATAGGTTAAGCAAAATGCAGGCTCCTTTGGCTCTCCTCAGCTCTCCAGCTCTGGTAAGATGCCTTTCTTCAGAACACTGTCGTAATACTTAGCGGGGATACGTGATTGTAGAGGCTTTCTCTGTGATGTGTGGTTCAAAACGCTGTCCTGGGCACCCTGGGCTGAGGTGGGATCGTGTGGATTTAACAAGGAGGGGAAACAAGGTGACCTCTGGTGACTGGAGGGTGATACCCACCGTCTTAGTAGATGTGCCATGAGTTGCAGGCCCAAGGCATCTCCAAAGATAAGTTAACGATCACAGAGACACTCAGTCACCTCTTTCTCTCAAGGTATGTGTTAGGAAGAAGGTGGATGGGATCGTAGTAGTGACTGAACTGGTGCAGCAGGTGTGGCACTCGGGCTGCAGTGTGTGGTCTGTGGTGGTATTGCTCGGGGACTGAATCCAACTGGCTGAGCTAGAAATACCCTAGATTTACGTGCGCCTTTGCTTCTTAGTCTTGTTTTATTCTTGAGATGTTTTAAAGAAATTCTAAGGCTGTTCTTGATAAAATAACTGCTGTTTTTAGAGGAGGAGTGCGGGTGCATCCCGTTAATTGTCTGTGCTTTGCTTCAGCTCCGGTGCGGTTCCAGGGCTCTGGCCAGACCAGCTTCAGTGTCTGTTTTCAGCAGGCCTGAGGTTCAGACTGTACAGGTGAGACTCTCAGGTGGTGAACTGGGTCCTGTATTTCTGTGCTTGCTCCCTGTGGTACGTGATGGTTTCTCCTGAGATGGAGGAGAAAGTGTGTCTATCGAGAGGACGGCTGGTACGGGCACGTAGCTTCTAGCCCACACTGCTGGTGGCTTAGCAAGCTTGGCTGATTCTGCTCTCCCTGGAGGAGAGGATAAACAATTATAATATTTTGTTTAAAACCAAGTTATATTTATGATGAGAAGTGACATTCGCGTGTTTCTTCTCCTGCACCCTGCAGCCAGCTGGTGTTCCCCCCTCACAGCTGCCCCGCCGCGAGCTCCAAACCAGCGCCGTTTCCCGGGATATCGACACTGCTGCGAAGTTCATCGGTGCCGGCGCTGCCACGGTCGGGGTGGCTGGTTCGGGAGCGGGTATTGGGACAGTGTTTGGCAGCTTGATCATCGGCTATGCCCGGTAAGTGAGGTGCCAGGCTGGCTGGAGTTTACTCCCTTCTTCCAGCACCGCATTCAGGAGAGGAGTAGAGCTTTCTCTGGAATAGATGTCCAGCTCTCCGTGTGTGTGTATATCAGCAGATGCTGTGTTTAACTGAACAGTCCTTGAAATATAAAATGGCTGTTATAAACCATTATTCTATTAAAATAAATGAGAAAGTGCCTGAATTGTTTGAATCCACCCCATGCTTGCTTCTAAAGGATGCAGCTGCTCTGTGGAGCTCTGCCTGCCCCTAGAAGAGGCAAAGCACTAGTTTGTTAGCAGGAGCTGTTGCTTGGTGCCACCAGGGCAGGTGAAACTAGCCTTTGGGGTTCAACATGTCTATGTTGCTAAAACCAGGGAAAAATCATGGCTTTCTCGCTCCAGGCAGCAGCTGCCTGCCATAAATCTGGTTTGTGCTTCAAAATCCGTGGCTTGTGTGACATAATTTTGGTTTTCTGTGATACAGGCTCTGGTCTGGGTGGCTTTTTTTTCTCACCATGGATCCTTTTTTTTCCCCCCCCCTTCTCTCTGGTTTGTTCGCCTCCTTGTACACCATCCAGGAATCCATCTCTCAAGCAGCAGCTCTTCTCCTATGCCATCCTGGGCTTCGCCCTGTCTGAGGCCATGGGGCTCTTCTGTTTGATGGTGGCATTCTATGTGACAGCTTCTGGTCCTGGCTGCGGCTTCCATCACTCTGTCCTCTGCGGTTTGAGTCTGCTTCCGTCAGAGCCTTCCAGACTGACAATTAAAGAAAAAATTTCTCTAAATAAACTGGTGGTTATTTTTTTTTTTTCCCCTTATGTTCTGGTGGGGAAGTACTTGGGGAAATTGGTGTGTTTGTTGAAGAGGGTCGTGTCCCAGGTGTGGGGGTAGCACTGATAAAGGAAGAAGGGAGTATGAAATGGTGGTGGGAGGGGAGAAAAACTACTGTGAAGTCAGCTAGATAAGAGAGGATGGCCTTGAACAGCTCCAATCTCTGCAAAAATCCCAACAAGCCTTGCCCTCGGAAAGCAAATGCTTCTCGATGAGCTGACAAAGTGTTGTATTTTTCCACATACTGTTGTTGAAAACGCTATGCCTTTTTTTTTTAATCTGAAAGAGT